GCTGAAGCTTTTTTTGCACACTATTATATTTATCTACCTAGGGGCATCCCAAGGCTGTGATGTCATTGTGCATTTGTGTGACGTCATTGCACCTGCGCAATGATGTCACGCACTGTTACCTGCCAGCGGCCATCTTGGTGATGGACGCTGGCAGACTTTCAGTCATTTTAGTATTACCCTCACTGAAAAGTTGGGCACTCGGTCATGGACCGAAAGTCTGACAAACATTGCGCATGTGCGTGATGATGTCACGCGCTGTTACCTGCCGGCAGCCATTTTGGTGATGTTCACCGGCAGAGAGAGGAGGGGACGTTCACCCGGTGGGATAAGGTATGCCCCCGGGTTCCCTACTCTCTCATGCAACTGTTGGGCTCTCAGTCCATGACTGAGTGCCCAACTTTTCAGAGGGGGTGACACCAAAATGACTGTAAGTCATTTTGGTGTCACCCCCTCCAATAGTGCCACCTCCGTGCGGGCCGCACCCCCCTAGTGACGCCACTGTATCTACCTGCTTTTTTTTAATTAAGCTGCATGCTATGTAAACAGCTAAATGGACCGATAAAATACATAGAAGGGAGCTGTTTTACCTGCTAAAGGATTTATATTTTAGTCCATCTAGTCCTGAGATTTACATAGCTCTGTCACACAGTGCAGCCCTATTTGGCAATTAAGGAGACCTGATATTTCTCTGCTGCAGTTAAGTAACAGGTCTTGCCCCTTCCCCATCTCTGCTGGAAGTTCAGCTTTAAACTTTAATTGGACTTTAATGCCTAACTCCAGCCATTTTCAACTTGCATTGAGGTTTTGAATCGAGTAGGGGAAAAGTTCTCTAGGTTTTTATAATTGTCTAGAACAGACTTTCTCAACCAGGGTGTCGTAGCCGCCCTGGGGTGCCTCAAAATTTTCCAGCCGGCCTTCTACCATGCTGCCGCAGATGCGGCTCCTGTTGTGATGATAGGGTTCTGATGTGAATGAGAGATTGAGGACTGAGTAAAAGGGGTTCCTGATTTAAGTGGGGGGACTTCAATATAGAGGGGAACCCCCTACTGTTTTTGTATGGGGTTGCCCCTTTAAAATCTATTACATTTAAGACTGGGGTGCCTCAAGATTTTGCATACTTTCACTGGGGTGCCGTGGTTGAAATAAGGTTAAGAAACGCTGGTCTTGGACCCCTCTGGGAAAATGTTGCCTCACATTCTGCCTCTGTGATTTCCATACAAGAAATGGGGTTAGAGGTTGTCACCCAGACAGCATCACACATCCAAAAAATGTAAACACTGTTTTCCTGAGGACAGGAATTGAGTAAAAATCACCCTCCCCTTCCCCTTTAAAAACATTGCTCTTCTATTTAAGCTGATAGACGTTTTTTAACACCTTAAATTTGTTTTCTCCATCTTATTTTGTTTTTAGGATTAAAAATATAGATTTTTTTTTCCAATAATTTATATTTATGTGCAATATATGAATATTGCAAATGACTTCTTGCAGTCAGTAGGAAGAGACCTCCAAGATTCAGACAAATCTGATCTCAGTAAGTGCCTGTGTCAGTGGGCTTTGGTTTGATTTAAATGTTTTTTCATTCACATACAAGTCTTTGCAAGTGCAAACCCCAGTTGAAACAGGTCAGAAGGAAGTCGACTGCAGGTAAAATGCAGCTATCAATAAATTCTTAAAAGCATCTGAAACTGATATCAAACTGATGCCATTAACACAAACCCAAAGCCCCAAAGCTTGTCGACACAGGGTCTAATACAAATTGCATGGTTGACATAATGGGTCTATTTTTAAATCTTCCGCCCACCACTAGATGGGGCCAAGGAGCATAGGATTTTTCTCCTTGGCTCCATCTAGTGGTGGAAATGCCATGTGAATGTCATTCGCCCAGAGTGTGCCTGGATGAAAGTTTTATAAATAGACTCCTTACTTTGCTAAGAATGCTGCACTTTCAAATAAAAAAGCAAAGAACAGCTTGGAATTAGGATAGTTGAGCACTGGACTCCAAGCCTGTTGGAGGCTGAATAATTCAAATGATTGGTGAAGTGCAGGAGCTCTCGACTGGTGGGTGAAACCCCAATGAGATCCCTGGCAGAATCAGCTCATATAGTCAAACTGTGAGAGCGCCAAAACCTGGAAACTGATACAAATATTAATATTTGTTTGTCACAATTAAATGTTCTATTAATAGTTAATTACCATAGTGCTTTGGGGGTTATGCACAAAACCCCCTTCATCAGGGATAATTGTGTGAGTGGAATGTGGATGGGTGGTTATTCCTGGCTTTTAATTCTAAGTGAGCAATGGTTTGGAGCTTCCTCCGTTAAGATGCCTGACAAATTAACTAAGAGAGTTCCAAACCACTGCTTACTTGGAAATGAAATGCAGGAATAACTACCTGCCCAGATACCAATGGCACAACAAATCTAAGCCATGATGTAGGGGGATTGATGCATAATCACCCACCTCCACCATCTTCCCCAATGCATTGGCTGTTAATCTTGATATATCCTTTTCTTATGACAGAAAATATCTGTACCAATCCTTATGGTTTGGCGCTCTCATCCTTTTATTCCATATAAAATTGCTTGGAGACGCCCTGTGAAAATTGACACACAGGTCCGGAGAGGGATATGTGCCTTCTCTATGAGTCATGAAGCAGTCTATATAATTTGATGCCCCTAGCTTTTCAGGTCTATTTCACAACAGTGGCTGACTTTTGTACATATAGAAAGCTGTTCTCTTTCCTGTAACAAAATAAATCTCTCCCACTGCTTATCTGTGATCACTGCTTACAGAGTGGTGCCCATCTCAAATTTAAACACCTCAAGTCCGCAGTAATGTATAAAAGTGCAAAGAACACCAGCACTCCTACTTGACTAAAAGATCCATCTTAATTGTATACACATGACTGACAACACGTCAGCTATTGACAGTGGTGTATCCAGGGTATGCCTCATATGGCACATGCCCTGGGCACCACTGACCGTGGGTCAGTGGGCACCACCACTGTGGGTCAGTAAAAGTTTGCCAACCCACAGAGACAGCTAACTTTTTTCTCTCCCCACTTCTCTACAAAACACATCTCCCCACCGGACTCTTAGAAACTAGGGTTTCTCTGGCCGGTGTCTTGCCCAGCTCCTGGCAACCAGTGACATCTTCTGTTTCCAGGAGCTGGGCAGGACCCCAGCCAGAGCGTCCCAGGTTGCTAAGAGCCAGGCAGGGAGATGAGTTTGGCCTTTACACATCTCCCTGCCCAGCTCTTAGCAATCTGGGACACTCTGGCCGATGCCCCATCCAGCTCCTGGCAACCAGTGACACCACTGGTTGCCAGGAGCTGGACGGGATGCCAGGGGTGCAATTTGTTGCAGATATGCCTCTGGCTATAAGGCATTTTGGGTTATATAATCCTATACTCATAGCAAAAGTGAGGTTGACAAGAGAAAGGCTTATATTGCCTGAAATACATAGGTATGGGCATTGCTGGTCTTAACTGAGGAAGCAATAAAGATTATCTTTTTACACAAGGCGGAGTACTAACCCTCTTTGTGCATTTATACACTACTGTGGACTTGAGATGGTAAAGTTGCTGCACACCTTGCAGTAAGCAGCTATCACATATGAACAGCAGGTGAGCTGTCTATTGTAAAAAAGACTTGTAAACCTGGGAAGATCAGAATACACAGAATACACAGACTGCTCAGTGACTCAAAGAGAATGGGCATATCCTAGTGGGGTTAAAAGATAAACTTTTTATCCCATAGTTCTTTTCAGGGTCACGGGAGGACATATTGTAACTTCGTCCCCTGACCCTAAGCTCATTATATAAGAGGCACTGAGAGTGCCAGAGCTAGAGTGCCGCAGCCGGTATGGATCCCGACAATACTGGTGAGATCCACACAGCTGGCTGATTGACAGCCGGCTCTGCCTATCTACAGCTGTGACCACCCCCTCCCCAGTCATCGCTGGAGGATTGGAGAGGGGGAATCACTGCGTGGAGCGTTGACTGACAGTCACCACTCTCTGCAGGGAGATGATCGGAAAGTGAGCGAGCGACGGTATGTGTTCGCTCACTTCCCGATCAATGGAGCCGACGTGAGACAGTTTAATTGTCACAGGTTGGCTCTAACTATGAGGACGAGTGAAAATCACTCACCTCATAGTTCTCTTTTAAGGTAGCGAGACCTGTCTGGTTTAGGTCACACAAGGTGTTTCCAAGTAAACAGGCAATTCTTGGATTTCTTGTTTGAAAATTCAGCATCATTTGCAAAGTTAGTGTCATAGATTTTTAATTATAAAACAAAGTTTAACTAGAATGATTAAAATGATATGAAATATCAGTTAATATTCTTTGTACATAAAATAATAATCCTATAAACCAAATGCCATTATACATTCACTTTATAAAAAGGTCCCTATTGTATGCGACTGTATATCTACGGTTGAGCTATTAGGCTGTAAACTCCTCAGGGGCGGAGACTGATGGTGAATTAATGACTCTAAGTACTCTGTAAACCACTGCAGAAAGCATCAACTCTATAGAAATGAATTAAACATATTATAAAGTACAAATGACAATTTTTTCTACCTAGGTGATACTATTGGCTGCTTAATTTTTATTAATTGTAACAAAAACTATCCTCCTCCATTGGTGTACAGGTGAGGCAATCCTTTTTAAGTATAAAACTAATATTTCCATTTTCCCTGGGTGGAATCTGGCAGACTGAATCACCTGTAGACTTTCTGCATCTCTCAGGGACTCCACTGTTGGTTTTTGACATCTGAGTTCCCAGCTCCGCCCAACTGCCATAGTTATTGTGAGCGTTTGTATGACTCTCATTGTGACTTGTCCAGATTTTTTATTATTTTACAATAAATAGAATGCAGTAGGCGTGTGGCCTTCCCTTGGCTTGCCGCTGGAGTCCCTGAAGGATACAAGATTGTTTGATTGATAGAACCCACCCACATGTACCCAAAATTAAAATATCACTTTTGGGTGCTTTTAAATTATTTTGGTTTAGGAAAATGTCTAGTTTCATCTTGACGATATGTTACAGTCTGTGTTCAGTTCCAAGGTATTAAATGAAGTAAAAACCAAAAGCTGCTCCACCATCAGGTTTGTCTTCAAAATATTGAAAATCCAGGATCCAATTTTCTTTTGTAATAAGATTTTTATTTTTTTGTAATCCAAAGTTAACTTCCAAGACGATCAATGGGAATTCAAGTCAATATGAGCAGAAATTAAACTCATAAAGAGTTTATTTAAAACCTCTACAGAATCCCGGAAAAAATACAATAAAATAGGTCGGAAAGGTTGTTTATCTTCATCTGGAGTTTCTAAAAAGTTAAGTTAGAAGTCTGCGAAGGAAATTGAGTGCACATTTTGTCACTGAGGTGCTACAATTGCTTCTGCTCCATCTTGAGATTTGATGTTCGCTACCGCGTTACCTGCAATGAGATAGAAAGTAAAGAGTTTAATGCACAGGGATGGACACAGGGATATGGAATTCAGGAGCCAGTCTGTCCAATACAGGAGCCAGCAGGATTTCTTGAACCCCTTAAGGACAAAAGTTTTTTCATTTTTTGCACCCATGTTATAATCCACATTTTAGGCCTGAAAATTACTTAAAACCCCCAAACATTATATATTTTCTGAAAGCCAAGACCCCATAGAATAAAATGGTGGCAGTTGCAAAGTTTTATGTTGCAGGACATTAGTGTAATTTATTATCAAACCCAAAAATGTAGTGAGAAATGCAATTAAGGTAAATGTAGTACCCCAAAACACTATATAAAACCATGTTTTAAAAATATAGAGGTTGCAACGAGTAAATAGATACCTAACATGCCCAGGTAAAAAATTGTGTGCGTCCGTGAAACTGCGACAGAATTCAGTACCCCAAAAAATCCATAGACGACACTTTTAAAAGCCCCTACAGGTCGTCAGTTTAGAGATTCGTGTAAATATTGGCCCTAGAATTATTGCTCTCACTCCAGCATGCGCGGCGATACCAAACATTTGTAGTGCAGTGGTCGTTTTCATACGTAGGCGCACCCGACGCGTGTTTACGTGCAGACAACAGTGCTCGCAGGGGGCGGGGGACTTTAAAAAAATGTTTTATTAGTTTTACATTTAATTTATTTAATACTATTTTAATTATTTTATTTTTTTTACTTTAGTTTAATTGCTATCACATAGGAGGGCTTACAAGCCCCCAATATGATAGCATATTGGTGGTGACAGGTCCTCTTTGGGTGATGCTGGGGGTCCAAAGACCCCTAGTATCACCTTTACACTCGAAACAAGCTATTGAAGTGCAGATCACACTTCAATAGCTTATTATTGGGCTTCAGGAGCCCAGCAATGACAGCTTTAGGACCGGAAGTGATGCAATACGCGTAGCTGCCAGTCCCATAGTACGGGGAGGAAAGCAGTGAACGGACGTTCACTGATCTTCTACTCAGCTTCCCGTGAAACCCAGCAAGCCGTTCCTAGGCTCGTAGCAGGGCCAGCGGAGCCCAGGAAACATGGTGGGGGTGTCGGGTGACGGGGGGGGCGGCCCAGTTACCTTATCGTAGAAGTGATCTGGCCGCAGCTGAGCCGCCCTAATCGCTTTTACTGTAAAGCCGGCCGCTGGCTCTACAAAACTGAACAGACTCCCGGCGGCCTGTTTAACCCCTTCAGACTTCATGATGGGATTATCCCGTCATGGGTTCTGAAGGGGTTAAGGAGCCAGCTCCATAGACAACTAGAGAAAACCCCAAAAATTAGGCTCCAGCTGTCATTTTTAAGGAGCATTGGCTACCTGGCTCCTGAGATTTGCCCAGCCCTAAGGATTCAAGTAAGAAGACAGTCTTTTGTAGATGATAAATGCCAAAATAAAAAATAAAGCCACTCAGTAGGTATGTTTAGTCTCCTGAAAATTAATTTCCCCATACGTATGTGATTTAGTCTCTGAAGCTGGAAGTTCTACAAATATGAAAATGATCTTTTAAACCAGACACCCAAAAAACTTTGTTGTCATGTATCATTTATATCTATGCCATACTAAAATATTTAATGTATCAATGTACATACCTGTATAACAAGGTGGTGTCACAAACAATAATTTAGTTTATTTTACAGAAAGGGATGCTGTCTTTTTGAAATGTTATCAATGTCAAATCTTTTTTGGTTTTTTAATTTTAGATTTGTACCTTTGTGTACCCTGTCTTTCTCCGTTTTCCCAAAATGTCCTTGCTTCCTGTCCTGGTGACATGCTAGAAGTGAGCGGAAAGCTCACAGTTAGGGGAATTCCTACTTTTGACAGGTGTCCTGGGACATGTTCCCTTTAGGACATTCCCCCTCTCCTCCTCCAATTCTCTGACAACACATTTTAAGACATTGACAGCTGGGACAGTAACATGTAGTTGGTGTTCCACATTCAATGCACCATTTTTATACTTAATGGAAGTCCATCATTCACCATATTCAGAAGATAAATTACCGTTCTATGGGAACTATTGATTGTGAAATTGAAACAGCTGCTGGATTAGACATGTTCAATTTGAACATTTGAGATCTTTAGGAACGGTGTGATGAAGGATGACAGAGAAGGTTGAACAGTTATCTTATAAAGGATACATTTTCCAAGGTAAAAATGATTGATTTCCACTTTGAAGTTTATTCATCCATTAAATAAGCCCCATCGACATGCACAGTGTTCCCATAATAGATTTTTTTAGAAGAGTCTGTGAAATGTCCTGAAGATGCAAAATGTTTAGAAGTTCCTATAGCTATCAGAGAGTGTTTCTCCCATCTAACCAACTACATCTGGATTAGTGAAAGTTTGCATGTCTGTAGACTAGGGATGCCGAGTATTTGGGCGAGTACTCGTACTGCGACAGTAATATTTATTTGGTGTTCCACATTCAATGCACTATTTTTATACTTAAAGGGGTTCTAAACCCTCCGTTTTTTTTTGCTTATATCTACCGCTAGCAAGCAGTAGATATAGGCAAGAAGTGTAAAAAAAAAAACAAAAAAAAAAGCGCTTGAAATCATTTTAAACTTACCTCGTTATCGCTGCTCGCTGATGGCACCTTGGAAAAGAACCCCTTGCACATACCTTTTTTCCAGGTGTCTTCCACCTGGATGCCTGATGTCATGGGTCCTGCATGCTGCCAAAAGCAGCACCACAAAATGATGTGGTGCCGCTCTCTGCAGCATTCTCCCTTGAGTCCAGGCCAGCCTGATGATGTGCTCCCAAGGGGCTGGTCCTTGATGCCCTGGGCTGACAGGAAGTGGGTTGAGCCTGGAAGAGGACTGGAGCTGGATAATAGAACAGGAAGTCTGTGGGGGACAGGACCAGAGGTGGTGGGTTGGGTGGGTATTGCAGTGAGATCTGTGTTTTTTTTAAATAATTCATGAGGAATCTTTTCGAATAGCCTGCAGTTAGGCTTTAAAATGCCTTTAAAAAGGTTTACAAACACTCAGCCCATTTAGGATAGTAATGCCTCTTGTGATACCGATGTCATATATAGAGGCATTACTTTTCCACCATTCATAGTGCAATATGTAAAACCGACATGGGGCCAGATATCTGTCTGTGCACTACGAGATCTGCCGCTACCCCTGTTTACTTGGGGGAAATATTGCCCCCTGGGATATAGGACGTCGGTATTCTAGCAGGCAGCAGAGAGAATGGCCACAGAGTGTGGGGCCAGCAGCAGAAATACAAAAATTAACAAAGAAATTGAAAAAAAATTGGAAGGAGGGAGGATTAAACTGGTTAACATTTTTATTTTTCAAGTGAAGGTCGGCTTTAATAAATCTCATACTGCAAAAAGTCCCAACATTTAGGACTTGTCATTGACTAGGGAACTTAGAAAAATGTGTCTTTTTTTCTGCATACATCATCGCTTGCTTATTATGCATTACACTCGTTTACTGAGCTCATTTAGATTCACTTGCCTCCATTCACATAGATTTCAGTTGTGCGAGCGGATAGTAAGGGGAAGACAGCAGAGTTTAGGCATATTTTTCTTGTCATAGCAAATATTTTATGCATTTTCTTCTAGCGAGGTGAATGGCGTAGTAAAATCATGTGCATCCAGAATGAAATGAATAATTTTCTAAACAGGGAACGGGGGAGAGTTGCATTGACACAAGTAACAAAATGCACAGACCACTTTCATAGGCAGCCTGGGAATATTGAAGAGGAAATCTGTCTACTTCATCACTTATAAGTTAAGGTGGACTTAGAATTAGATGCATTTTTTCATTTTAAGTGTATGCATGCTTAGTAATGTATAACTGTTGAACATCCAGGTATTTATTAACGATCACAGAGATCACAGTACTACCCCTGACGATTTCTTCATCTGCTTTTCTCTACAAAATGACCATCTTTGTTCAGGCATTATCTAAGGCCGGCATCTATCACCTTGCTACAACGCTACAGGGGCGAAGGCAGCCAAAGTGAAGTGAGCGGAACGCTGTTCGGCTTTTCACTTCTGGCTTGTACAGCTGAAATCAGCTGTACATCGGCTGCCTTCGGTCAGCCGAACATGCTCTGCATGTTCGGCTGAGGCGAATTGCAGAAGCAGTTCGACTCAGCCGATCCAACATCTGGATCGGCTGAGCCGAAGCTCCGACAGTTCACTCACTGCCATTCACCCCTATTCTTATAGGGGCCGAATGGCAGTAAGTGAATAGCCGAATGCCGCCGAGCTGAGGTACTGAGCAGAGAAAAAAGAGTGAAATGAATTTAAAAAAAGTTGAAAAATGATTTAAAACGTAAGAAAATAGGAAAATTACAAGAAATGTAAATAGTTTAAAGAAAAGAAAAAAGAAGAAAATTAAAAATAATTTAAAAAAAACGCTGGCAAAGATGCTGGCAAAAGAAAAACAATTGGGCGGTGATAGCAGTGACAGCTAGCTCTGCCCAATTGTTTCCTATTGGCCGGCACCTGCCAGAGACTTGTAGCAGGTCCCGGCCAATGAAACACAACTGGGCTCTGTCCAGTTGTTATTGTTAAAAGACAGATCAGTGTCCCCAAGTAATTTGGGGACGCTGATCTGTCATTTCAACTGAAAAACACAAAAAGGATAAAGCGCACTCCTGTGGGGTGGGCAAACTTCAATTAGGTGGCTATTGTGTGTAGGTGTGCACAGCTCCTCGCTACAGGGAGAGGACCCTGTCTATTCACAACTACAGATTTAAAAACAAACAAATCAGGACTGAATTGGGTCCTTCGCCAAATAAAATCCACTCATACCACGTTTGGTAGTTGCGCTCCTGATTTGTTTGTTTTTAAATCTGTAGTTGTGAATAGACAGGGTCAACTGAGCGGAGCCAGCCGTGAGATTGCGTGGAGACCGGTCGGCTTCAGTCGACCTTCTGCACGCTTCGCCTGTCACTTCGGCTCAGTCGAGCGGAAGCATATCCCTTCGGCGCGGCTGAGCCGCTCGGCTGCCTTCAGCTGCTGTACAGGCTATTGTGAATAGCCCGTACAGCAGCGCTTCGGTTCGACTGATCTGAGCCAAAGGAGCTATGGCCGGATCTTTTGGCTCCATAGTGAATAACCCTTATAATGTTGCAGTCTGATCACTGGGGGAGAGGAGACTGAGGAAATGCTTCCTCCTGCCTGCAGCTGACTGATGACATTATCTCAGGCTAAGCCACTGGATTGGAGCTCAAGGATGGCTTCTCAATGACAAAAGGTGGAGCTTTTCCAAAAAAATTATTCTGTTGTTGTATACTGTGACCTGTCAGGAATTTATTCATGCAGACTGGTACAAGGTTCACTTTAAATGTAAAATATGAAGACACATCATCCATTGGAAAGGGTTAACACGTCGGAAATATGTGCTTTTCTTAGCACTTTATGTTTTTTCCTGAGTTTCAATAGACCTCCATACTGTGCGACAATGGGCTCATTTCCTGCTAGGTGTAATACCAGCTATTATACAGCTTAAAACACAGATCCAAGAAATGGAACTGGAAAGGACAGCGGGAGGTAAGTGTAATGTGTATCTTTAGCTGAAACTTCTTTTTTTTTTTGAAGATTTGATGGAACGTGGAATGGCTTTAAACCTGTCAGGTTTCTTAATCTGCTGCCTGTGTAACGTTGGGAAGATGTTCTATCACTTCCTGTCTCAAACACAAAACAGGAAGTGGGAGGAAATCTCTCCAAAGTTAAGTCAACTTAATTCTTAGTCTGGCCATACATTGATCTGTTTTTTTATTCAACCGGCAGGCTGCGCGGAAAAAATAGACCTGATTCCCCCATCAACAGTAACAGCGTGTTGATCGAGGAATCCCAGCTGTTCCCATACAGCGGCTGTCGCCACCTATCTGAATACCCAACTAGAGCCGGCAGCTCATTGACTGCCGGTTGTGATCGATCAAAGATTTTCCAACCGGCTCCTTCGATTAGCTGATCGAGGGATGCCAATTGAAAGTGTGCCGACGCTGCGCATTTCTGCCGGTTCCTCAAAAACAAGACAACATTTCAAACAGTGTATGGGCACCTTTGGACAGCTGTCACCACAACCGGTGCTCCAATTGGAAGATTTCCCCTCCATACCCTATTCTGGTGATAACCGTAAAATGTTGGAATTCACATCACATAACAGTTACCAGGCCAAATAGAGAAGCTGAATTTTCCCCAGTGGGAATAAAAACTTTGTTTGTTTGAGCTGATTTTGATACAGACCCATACAAGAATTAGAGGGCTTGGAGTGAGTCTGTAGAGGTAAGGAGAAAGCTGGGGTGGTGAGTGTAGTGTAGGTTAGTTCAGTAAAGGTGGGGGGTGAATTTGACATTTTTAAAAGGTACATTTGTCCTTTAAATCTGAATTTCAGGATGAACAAATATTGTCTGAATATTCTAACTTGAATTTTGAGCTTGAGCAGTAATCCGGTGTGAAACAACTCCAGCTCTTTGCCACAGCACAGGAGCTTCATGTAATCCAGAATAGTTATTGCTGCTCACTCTCTCCTTGTGCAGGGTGACTGGTCTTGTCTCCGCCACCTCCTATAATTTTCTGCAGGTGACCTGTAGTGGGTGAGGCTTGCTGTGCCCCTCCCACAGCTCTACTGTCTGCACAGGCTATAAACGGCACTCTGATGATGTCACTGCCACATTTACAAGGTATTTTCTGGGTTTGAAAGGCATTTGATACACACAAAGTGGATTTAGATCCTTTCTGGATTTTAAGGATTATATTTAATGGAAAATGTTAAAGCTCTAAAAGCAGTAAGAAAAATCATGCAGATTCATATACATAGAAATCCATTCAGAAACCATAAAGTCAGAGCAAAAACCCCTCATGTTTTTCTTACTTTCTTCGACATACTTTTACAAGCTGAGGAAAACCACTCTCATGTCAACTAGCCCCAAGGCAGCGGCAGGTAATGAGAAACAATGTGCCTTGCAGACCAGTCAATTAAACCAAAATACCTGGAAAGCATTGTAATTATTGATGGGCAAACTGTTTTGAGTTCGGTTAGCTTGGACGTTCTCCAATCCCAGTCAGAATCCCCGGTTCGGCGAACATCAAAGGGAACCGAACCAAACCCTGGGCCACCTGTGTCCTAGCAACCAATGATGCTGTTTGGTTTGCTAGGACTGGCTAGTAGCTGGGCTGCAGTGTCACTGGTTGCCAGGATGCAGGTGGGCACACCATAACAACCTATGACACTATGGGGTTACCAGTGTCTTAGCAACCAATGACACTGTTCATCCTACATACGTAATTGGTTGGTAAGACGCTGGTCACACTATAGCATTATAGGTTGTTATACTGCACCTGTCTACTTCCTAGCAACCAATGATGATGTTCCCCTCAGCCACCAGTCAACCAATGATGCTGTATGCCTCAGCCACCAGTCAAGCAATGACTCTGTGCGCCTTAGCCATCAGTTAACCAATGTTGCTGTGCACCTCAGCCAACAGCCAACCAATGATGCTGTGCACCTCAGCCACCAGTCAACCAATGATGTTGTGCGCCTCAGCCACCAGTCAACCAATGACACTGTGCCACTCAGCTACCAGTCAACCAATGATGCTGTGTTGCCTGCACAGCGTCATCTGTTTCTAAGACGCTGGTGACCCCATAGTGTCATAGGTTGTTATGGTGCACCCACCTACGTCTTGGCAATCAACGATACCTTGCAGCTCAGCCACTAGTCACCAATGATGCTGTGGTGAACACAGTGACATTGGTTTCTAGGACACAGATGGAAGTTTGGTGGGCGGTTGAGCTGGCCCAACTGTTTGCCCATTCAGTGAAGTACACACAGCTTACGTTTGGGTTGAAAACATGGTCAACTCGTACCTGAAGCTCTTCCCTAACTGTAATGAAGTTATGATAAGAAACATAATGCAAACAGGTAGAAGACGTCCTTCACTCACCTTTGTAGTTTTGATTTTATTACCACTGCTACAGGACCAGCCTGTGAGATCTGGCAAAACTCTACACTCTTCCCACTCCATACAGGGCTGCATGTGACACCACCACTTCTGGATAACAATCGATGCTGGAGAATAGAAAGGAAATGTACTTCATGAGTCAGAAAAGCTTTTTTTTCCACTAGTGTTCAGTAAAGTAATTTGATACTACTGGAATCAGAAATACATCAGCAACCTCATGTTTGTCAATCCATATTTATACAGCTACAAGAATATGTTAAAGAAGAACTCCCGGGCATTTTAAAAATTAACCTTTGCAGTGGGGCTACCCAGCACTGCAAGGGTTAAGTGCTCGTTTTGGTCTAGGGAATGGAAGAAAGAAGATATACTGTCCTCACCTGATCCTGGATCCCGCCTGGCTGCAAGACAGGTCCCCAGTTAGCCCTTTCTGAGGACTACAAAACATTCCCCCCGTGTTACAGAAATAAGCACAGTGGAAATTGTTCTGCAGATGGTGACTGAGCATTGTTACTCAGGGATCCTTCCCAGAGGTTGCAGCAAGCTGTCATATTATAGGTGGGAGCATTTACGTTACAGGTGGGATGTGGGCATTTAAGGCCTCCCTAGATGGCAATTTAAAAAAAATCACTGTCAAGACCCACTACACTTGTTCTTTCTAACTGGGTCAGCAACTGGAAGGAGAAGTGCTTGTGTGTTCTCCAACATAGATTTACCAACATAATGGGCTATGTCTATACGTGAGATTTTGGTTGCTACTTTTGTCAAAAAGAGGCTTCCCACATAGGACAGGCTACACAGTAAAGTTACACAAAGGTGTCATCTTCTGTAGAAAGTCATTTGCAAGGACCATGCACAGACTCCGCCATCTGCTGGATGTTACTCAGTACTGCATAGTGGTCACGCTGCAGCAGCACACCTGACCTCTACACGAAATGCTTAAATGGAGTTAAGAACATTTTGTCAGTGTCTAACCAAAGGCCTTGCTACCTATCTGGCTTACTCTTGTCTCAGTGAATGCTTTTGCTGGGTGCCAGACCCTACTTCAGTTTGTTCCCTGACCACACGTGCCTGCCCGCTGCTCAAGCAAAAACAGTTTTAACAGCAGACTAGTTTATAGTTTTATACACCTCCCATGTCTCAATTACTGAGAGAGCTGCTAATATGTGTATAGCTGAGACCCAGGGATTGTTTGTCTGCTCTGTTGTCCTTCTTTTTAATGATCAGAAGTCACAATTGTATCATCATGACAGACACATTGGAAAAAAAGCTTTAAAAAAAAGCAGGTTAATGGGATAAGATCTTATTTTATTGCCTCTTATCCAAAACCTGTTATTATCGGCATGCTAAGGAAGAGGCGTGACCACACAGAGGTCCTAATTTTTTTAATTTCGCAGAATCATATGACTGTTCAGGGCGCCCCTATAAACAGTAAACAAAACTTTATTCAGAAGAAATTCACAAAGTGTTTAGAGTCTTAACAGATCACTAACACTCTACACTAACACAGCAAACACCATTAACAAGGCACACAGCGGGGCTTCTCTGCTGCTGTTCAATCTGGTAGCTGTTAATCACAGCTTAAAGTAAACCTTAAAAAAAATTAAGAAATTCAAAGTTAGCAAATCTATATACAGATGCTGCCTTCACTGAAAACTGAATGTCAAAACAATCATTAGATCTAGAAATATAGGAAGTACATTGTTTTGTGAGATGTCTTTTTCTTGAGCTTGGCTCTACCCTTTTACACCTTCTAGGTTTACTGGTCCTTTAATGTGATTAACAGACTTTTGGACCAATAGAGTTGGACTAGGGGGGTGGGGGGTATAAAAAAGTTGCAGTTTGGCTTTAGGACCCAGTTGCACCATATCCAGTGCATTCCGGGAACATTTTGTGGCCCAAACGCACTGGTTTTGCAGAAATCAAGCCGGGCCACGTTCTGGGATAGTAGGAGGCGTGGTCGTGCCATTCATGTCAATGGCACCGCAGACACGCCTCCTGCCCGTGGTTCAATCCGCTGCACCGGAACGCGAGGTACAGGAATGCCCTGCAATCCGGGGAAATGCGATCGGAAAAAATAGTGCATGCAGCATTTTTTCCGATTGCACTGCACCGGAACGAAGGGCATTCCTCTTCCTCGCGTTCCGGTGCGGGCAATCGCACTGTGGGTGGGGGGTGTGTCTGCTGTGCCATAGACATGAATTGCACCACCACGACCCCTCCCGCCCTAGAACAGAGCCCGGCTTGATTTCTGCAATCCAGTGCATTTCGGCCATGAATCGTGCCGGAACGCACTGGATATGGTGTGACTGGGCTCATGTATGTCCAGCCAAAAAATGTTTTTAAAGTAAGGAAGTGTTGGAACCCTTGATGGGTTTTTACTGTGGGCCTGCTAGAGATATTTATGCTCACTTTTTGTCCTGACAATGTTTTAAAAGAGAGGAAGTGAGTGATAACTCTCCAACAGTAACACTGAATTATGCTTTTCTTGAAAAGAGTAGGGAAAGGCTACAACCACTGTCCACCTTGAATTTCTGTCCTATCCTGAAAGTAAAGGAGACTCTCTAACGGTGCCCCACATAGTAAAAACCCAACAGAGGTTCTGATTTTTCACCAGTCTATCCAAATGAGGGAAGGAAAAATTTTGGACTTGGTATACACTTAAAAGTATATATAACTAAAGAAACTAACATTTAATATAGTAACGCTTACTAGTCCTTAGATGGTGGCTGCAAGTGTAGAAAAATACCTGTTGTCTTGCCAGAAATACATTCTCCTAGTAACTGCATATGCACTGAACTTAAATCTCAAACAATGTTATCAGCTCTGATCAGTTCTCTTTTCTGAACTACAGAACACCTCCTCCAAGGTTAAAGAGATGAGGAAAAGGGGAGGGGTGTTTGCTGCCCAAAACAGGAGCATAGCCTACGGCAGGGGTGAGCAACTCCAACCCATCAACTGTGCTTCACTAAAAATTCCAACATGCCTCTGCCTCTGGGAGTCACGCCTGCAACTGTCAGTCTTGCAATGCCTCATGGGACTTGTAGTTCAACAACAGCTGGAAGGTCGGAGTTGCCCACCCCAGGCCTAGGATGACAATGCCGCGTCTCCATAGATACAGTACAGTGAGTGAGCGTTGTCACCCTAGCACAGAAAACTAATGCAGCAAGCACATCCAAAGACTGGTAAGCTACATTTTGATGATTTAGGTACACTTTAGTAAATCCTTTTACTTGCAAACTCAACCACTCAGTTTGTGAGCAGTTATTTATCAGTTATTTTTTCTGAAATAAAATTGGGCCTTTTGCTTGGCTGAATTCTTCTTTAATTTGGCTATATTATGTGAGGGATATTTTTGCGCCGGGAACAGGAGCCACTCAACCAGCTGTATTGTATATGAGAATACATTCCCTGCCTATTTCTTCAAATGACTAATTTACTGTGTTCATGCTTCGAAAAAATAATACATTGGGACTAAATTGCCTGCAGAAAGAAAGAATGCTAAAGGCGCCCACTGTTATCGGCAAGTTATTTAAATAACTGCAATAGACCTACCTATAGTGAAATCACTCAGGCATTGCTGACACTCAGTGGAAAATTACACCAAACATCATGTTGTTACACAAAATAATTACTACTTTAGAAACATGCTCTGATGTATGAAATTGATGGCCTGCCATCAACATTGGCCTGCATACTATAATTTTTATAATCTTACAAATAAAAAAAAAATTTATAAGCAGAAAATACCTGCAAAGGAGGACTTCAAACCTGTGCCGTATATTTCAATAAGTAAGTTGCATGGTGATGTATTTCATGGGGGGAATCACACCAAGCTTTGGGCCTTTGGGTCTCCAAGTCAGAATTGTGTGTATGGCAGGAGGGAGAAGGGTTTATGTGCTGCAGGGGCGTGCGGTCAGGGGAGGCAGGTGAGGCAGAGCCTCACCTATTATTATGGAGGAAACAACTGTCAGCTTCAAGTCTGAAGCTGACAGCTTTTTATCCATTCAGAGCGGCTTGTAACAGGGTACACAGCAGGGAAAACCTCCCTGCTGTGTAGCCTGTCATGGATGGAGCGCTGCCTGTTAATTACAGACAGCGCTGCATCCGACTTTTTACAGGTAGTTAGGCTACACAGCAGCGAGCTCCCCCACTGCCTGTGTAACCTAACATAGTGAGGCAAGAGCTGTCAGCCTCTACTCTGTGTTAGAGGCGTGAGCTCTGTGGATCTGTCCAATCAAATAAAAGAAAAATAAACAGTTAGGACATCGATCTCGCTGCCTCACCAGTGACAAGCAAGTGAGGGACAGGAAGGTTCCTCCCTGTCTCCTCCCTTCCTCCTCACCAGACAGCTTGGATAACGAGCTGGGGCGGGACAGAGGTGGAGCTTCGGGGGCAGGGTGGAGCTTCAGCTGGACGGGGCGGAGCTGTGCCGGGCTGGGGGGTGCCTCACTCAGCAGAGAAGGCACGGCACATCACTGGTGTGCTGTGCAGAAATATTGGCCATACAGTGAATTGTAATGAGTTGTAATTGAAAGAAGAGCGCTGTATATGATTTGCATGGCTACAGATTATACAGGTTGAGCTCTTAAACTGATGAAATAGGTTATTTCAGGCAGTCAGGCCACTTGGCATACGGTCCCTACCCAAAAAGATGTATGGGATAGATCAGGGGTTTCTAACTGGTGGTATCCATACCTCTTGGAGATATAGAAACTAAACCAAGGGGGTATAGTATTTGATCTCTGCATAATACAAGAAGGAATCTGGGAAAACTTTCCCTTGCTGTGGGGCTACTTTTGCACTGCAAGGGTTACATGCACATTTTTATGTAGGGGATAGAATAAAGCAGATATACTCACCAGATCTTTGGTCCCACCGAGCTGCTAGACCGGTCCCACACCCTCTTCTCCCCCATGCTCCGATGGTCTATCTATTGCAAGGTCATTGACTTGCACTGGACATGAGGATGACAAGCGACATTCCACAGCCAGAGTAGAGGGGGAGAGAGGTGAGGGATGACCGCTGAGAGAACATGGATCAGGTAAGCATATTTGCTGTATTCCATCCCCTAGAGAAAAATGTGCACTTAGCCCTTCCAGTACGAGGG